TTTGGCATTAATCTGGGCAGCAGTAGTTGGAGTTATATTAGGCACTCTTGGCTTGCTTATGCTGGTTCCTGGTAGGTCAGTCTTTTGCCCATTGCTTCTATCAGCAGCTCCAGCCTTTTGTTTATTTTGTCTTTTCCTTAGTGATGGCTGAACAGATGCAACTCTTCTCTTTTTAGGTGTAGAAGCTAGAGCTGTAGGTGGTTTCCTACCTGGGGGTCTTCCCAACCTTTTCTTTTAGATTGGTTGAGGTTGGGAGGGTTGTATTTCTGCGGTTTGCCCTTGGGGATCATTTTCATTTATAGGACCAAGTCTCAAGCTGATAGGTACTCTCTTATTGGTTCTGGGGACACTTTCAATGTCTTGTACCATTGAGTTTATAACAATGTTAACTGCTGTTTCTTCCACTTCTCCTTGTTCCTCAGCAAGCCGAAATCTTTCTTTACGGGCTGCACTTTCAGTGGGATCAGCGCAATTGGAGTATTGTACCATGACTTCTCGTACTTCTCCAAGAGCAGTTTGTATAGCTTCCTGTGTCAGAGCCTCAGGGGGTTTGTGCATCAGTACGCTCCAAGGGAGGTCTCCTTGGCCTTGATGTTTCTGACCTTTCTTACGAAGAGCGTAGTGCTTCAGGTAAAGTTCTTCTGGTCTTTTCTTTCCATATAGGTTTAGTCATGGTAGTATTCCCTCTTGGCTCAGACTGGCGGGAAACTCTAGAATAAGTTGAGGCTTGAGATCTTGGATTGCCTGGAATATGAGAGAATCTGCAGTTATACTCTTTAGATTGGTAGCTTCCATGTTGGTAGTGCTGTCTCTCTTTAACCTTATCTCTCGAGTAGGGGACCCTAGTATCCCTTCTATCTTCTGGTTTTTGTTGCCTTACATGTCTATGGGAGGAGAGGTTTAGAGATACTTCCTTATGGTTTGCCTCTTTTGTGTAGGGTCCTACATATTGCTTTCTGCTCTGATAGGTGTCTATTGACTTCTCTGAGCGTTTGAATAAAAGTGTTTCTCTCTTTTCAGAGGCTTCAGGGCAGTCTTTAATATCATGGTTCAGACACTTGCATCCTGTGCAGTATTTTTCCAGCTTTTCATAGACCAAATCAGCTATAACTTGCATCCTGTGTAGTATATTTCCAGCTTTTCGTAG